GTTCACGTAGTTTCTTTTGCAGACCTAGCTTCCAGAAGCATTCTAAAGTACCGCAACAAGGAATAAAAATCACGCGTAATATATCAACTTTGTACATAAATGTGATGCGTTAATAGTTTCTATACCCTCAGGAAGGTCCATTCAGATTAAGATATTTTCACATGACGATGTGATTAGAAATATTGTAGGTTCTTTCAGAGTCTGTGTAGAGACAGATCGACACAAACAATCAGGATTTCTAGACAAACGATTATATTGCTGAATCGACATGTCCCGACCAATGTCACGCTTAGAATTAAATTCTAGAATTTATGGCCCTAGTTTACCTCATTATAACTGAACTGTAGATACAATAAGTGGTTATTGAAATATCGCATCACAATTAATAGCTTCGCTTACACGTCTGTAGAACTACGGACTCTGCCGAATTTAAAGCATTTTTTTTGTTTTAAAGACTGACCATTTGAACAGAGATAATAATCAATATGGTTAAGGTACATGTGTTTTATAAGATTTGCATTCTCCCAGTAAAGCCCTCCTGAAATTACAGAGGTGGTATCAGGTGCCGAGGATGAAGCATCCGAGGTTGACCGGTCAATCCACCCCCGAACTTACGCAGTTACCAGGTAGATGAGATATTCCATAGACGGGCAAAGGTCGATGAATGGAAATAAAACCCGTTGGCTAAAATACGACATTATGATAGCTAGGTTATTTTTTGTTGACGTTCATATGATTTACCAAAAAAAATTGACATTCGGTTTGAAGTCCCTGTAACATCAACTTTATCTGTCAGTAGCCTGACTCTTTGCTGTAAACCAGTCATAATCCTCACAAATTATCTCATAAAATTTTATGACGTTAAACAGGATATATCATGGTTACATGTACAGTGTATGATGAAGTAAGATACTGTAGAATTTTCACGGAATTTTTCATCGTTTTCCTTTCGTTTTTTTTTTTGTTCGGTTTATGATTTCCCGTGGTTACTGTTTCTGAAATCGGAATGTACTGAGTTTTGGAAATTTCAATATTACCGGCACAAGTAGACTACACTAAGATACATAACCCCGGCAGTGGTGTTGCCGTGGTTACTAAAAATAGAAATTTCTGTGAAATTCTTTCGAAACCCCGGCAATTTCAATATTACTTGGCACACAAGTAGACTACACTAAGATACATAATTCTGTGCATGGGTTTTTGATTTCGATTAACAGTGTTGCAGTGGTTACTAAAAATAGAAATTTCTATGAAATTCTTTCTAAAACCCCGGCAGTTTTGGTCTGATTTCAATATAACCACCAAAATTAAGTACATAATTCTCTGCATTGGTTTTCGCTTTCATGAACGGTGTTGCCATGGTTACTAAAAATAGAAATTTCTGGAAATTCTTTTAAAATGCTACTGCTCCTAGTTTTGTCCTTATATAATTTGGACAAGAGACCTTAAAAACTGAGGTCACGGTTGAGTTGGCACGTTTAATTAAAAATGCTACTTCACTTTTGCTTTCAAATTAACTTGGCACACTCGACACATAATTCTGTGCCGGTTTTTCATTTTGATGAATGGTGTTCCGTGGTTACTAAAAATAGAATTTTCTGTGAAATTCCTTTAAAACACCTTCAGTTTTGGTATTTCAATTTAACTTGGCACACAAGAAGACTACACTAAGATACATTAAATAGTGCATCGGTTTTTGATTTTGATGAATGAACAAAAATAGAAATGTCCCGAAATTCCTTTAAAACATGATTATTTGATGTGTTGCAATGATTCTTTTCTTATCCTTTGTTATAAGTACAAACCAGTAGAGCTACAGTATCACAGAATTCTGATTTTTTTTTTGGCTCCCTATCGGAAAGTCACCCTGTTTAAGTAGCAAATGATCGTTTGCCAAACTCCCAGATCTTGGAAATGAAAGTTGCAGGTCCTATGGATGAGACCTTAAAAACGAGGTCACGGTTGAGTTGGCACGTTTAATAACCTTCACTGCTATATGACCTCGAATGCTGATATAGCAACCCTTCATCGGTATCTTGGTACTTGGAACATGAAACAGCCCCGCTCATGATTATTTGGTGTGTTGCATGATTATGGAAAGCCATCGGATCCAAAATTCAATGTTTGGCTCTACATCACCCTATTTTCTCTAACCAGTAGTATGATGCAACCTCGCCTACTTTACTTATCAGGAAAATAAAAGTTGACAAATCAGAAGTCTACAAGAATAACACGAAAGTATTGACATAACATAGCATTTTACAATTGTCAAATTATGCTGGATAGTTATATTCAACAAGTTGTTATACAGTTTACAAAATACAAATGACATTTTTGCAATTTCACGTGTGTATATTTAACAAATTTCAACGTAACTGTTGTATAAACAGAAACTTTATTTTAAAAGCATATCTTTAAATTCCCTTTAATAAATTTTATAGAACTGCTATATTGTACCTCGATTTCTACTGAATGTTTGTGTAAGCGAATTTAAAAAATAAAATTGAATGTTGCAAGTACATAATTATATTAGACGTAGTTTTCTCGAGTTAAAATAAAGAAGCACGGTAAGCAGCAATGTACTTAAGTTTACTGAATATAATAATCACCAAAGAAAATAAAAGGAGATCAAAAGGAAATAAAATCAAAGTACAATCGTCATGTACTCAAGTACCATGTATCTTACATTACAGTCAAGCATGAAGAAAGAATTTTTTCGCACCATATTGAATGGTACTTTTAAACACTCCGTGGTCATCAAATGTTGGTATTTTAATATCAACAATCACTAAAATTGTACTCTAAATCAAATCGATCAAACTTAATCAACTCGATCACCACGCCAAATACGTGTACAATCCGTTATTTGATACTGCAGTACTAAGCACTCCTTTAAATATTTGAAGATTATTTTCTCTTTTTGTGACCAATTAATGCATGTCAGGATCATGATATTAAACACAACCAAAAAACAAACAAACCTGTCCAAAAACTGTCATGTCTCAGCCTTTTGGTGCAATTAATATCTTTTGCAAACGTTTTTCCACTTGTAAATCAATTCACAGATTTCTATGTTGGTATTTAAAATTTATAAACCGTGAAATTTGATGGCATTAATGGGAATAATTAGAATAAAGATGAATCAACGTGAAATGGAAATAGCTAAGTTCGATATCTTTTACGTGAAGCGTAATTATAGAAAAGCAATCAAGATATTGCAAAATCTATAAATAGATGACAGTGCACTGCGTTCGATGATCATTGTACCAGGATATCACCGCTAGTACGGGCGTACGCAGCTGCAGAACTGTAGCTATCCGGAAAAAAAATGACAGACCGGAAAGCTACAATGCAACCCATTGAAATAAAAGTGCATAATTAATGCGCAAAAAAGTGCACTGTTTCTAGATTTACTTCTCCATGATTAATATGACAGACCGGAAAGCTACAATGCAACCCATTGAAATAAAAGTGTATAATTAATGCGCACAAAAAAGTGCACTGTTTCTAGATTTACTTCTCTTTGTTTTTCATACTGCAATCTCAAAATTTTACTTGCCGTATGTTCCTTTGTTTTATATTTTCACAGCAAAACATGCCTTAAGGACAGATGATACAAACAAACTTTTGTCAAAAAATTTGAAAATAACAATTTGGGTCATGTTTAAATGAGTAAAATGAATGTTTCACCGCGTATTTTTTAATTTTTTACTCAAAAGTTCATAAAAATGGGATTTGAAGTGAAAAAATATTTGTATATTAAATTAATAAGGATGATTTCAGAAGGGCAGACTTTTGAACTTCACAGAAGGTTTACAAATTCTTTCTATTCTAGAATTTATTATTTGCATCATTTGCGATGAAATTCGGCCAAAAATATATACTAATCCAGGCATCCATTTTTTGTTTGTATCATATGTCCTTAAAAACTGTTAGAAATAGTGCCCATAGGCGTGAAATTACTAGTCAAACAAAATCCAGCTAAACTTTTGTGCGCAATATGAATTATATATACATTTTTTTACGGGTAGCTCTGTTCCTTTTTGGTCATCCATCCTTTTTTTTTTTCAGACCAGCGAGCTACAGTACGGGTGGAGGTTTGGGAGGGGGTCTTTTTTTTCTGAATCAGGAGGTAGTTACGTAAAATGTAAACTTTTAAATAATATGAGACGTCGCCTTTTACAAATTTAGAATTTTTTAGATATATTTCTAAATTGAAAAACATTGATACATATTAAATTAATAAAGTTCCTTAACACTTATTCCTGCATAAAATAATTGTTCTCCTGTCAAGTTTGAAGAAATTTTAAATGCTTTCTTAATAAGCAAAACACACGATTCAAAATGCCAAATATAATGTAGTTTAAGAATGATAATCAAGTCATCGTACTATATATTTTCTATTCCCGAATGTATGCCCATAAATGAATTTAATAAAGAGAAAAAAATAAAAATCTTACTACTATTCATTCGAGAGATCAAAATCATACATGATTAATAATTTGTTTTCGATATAGACTTTTCCTCTCTTTTTTGGTTTAATTGTGCTGATAGTAATGTACGAAAGTTATTCAACATAGAAAGTTAATTCCTTTCAATGATAATCATGGGCAAAGAGGGTAAATTTTGGAAAAAATTTACTGATACATGTAATATATAGCAGAGATATATTTAATAATTTTATTGGTGATTTTTTTTTTAATTAAAGAACAAGTAATCTATCTTTTATATATGTGAATATATTTTCGGTAAATAATTATGATTAATTAGAGAAAGAAAACAATATTCATGTATTATAATTCAAGTTATGGTATATGTAAAAATTTCCTGTTCGCATTTATTGTTTTCATCATTAAAACTAGTGCAGTATAGTCGAATAGTAAGCGAGTGGTTTTTTTTAAATACACCGTTCACCCTTGGGATTGATCAAACACTTTAATCAAAAGAATGCTATTATAAAACTTATAAACTACTTCCTTGAAATTGCCTGCACTTATTCCGGGAAGGACAGGTAGTTTATAATTATTTGATTGGGTTTCCAGTGGTTCAATACATAGTGTAAGAATACAGCCTTCAGGCGTAACCACTTACTTACGAATCCTGCGACCAATTTCGGAATTCGATTAATATTGATCAACTGTCGTCTGTTCCTAGTGCCTCTTGTTAGAAGTTAATCGCATTATCATTGAATATTGGTTGCATGAGGAAAGGTGTTGATCAATTCCATTGTCGGTGGGTCATATTACAGCAGAGGTGTCTTTGTAGAAAATCATGAACATGTCCCACATCTGCTTCCAATATCGCTGCTATCCATTTAAAGCTTAGAATGTGCTGCATCAATCATCTTTCGTTCTACCGGTCGTATAATATTATTGGTTTTCCGGGCAAAGGATATTCAAGTATTTACGCCCCCTCTTTACACCTCTCTTGTTTAGGAACTTACACTGAATGGACTCTAAATGAAGATTTTAGATAAACATTCACGTCGAACGCTGTTCCATATATATCTTCCTGTCAGAGGAAATTCTGGACATCTTTTGCCGCTGCTTAATTTCGGAAGTCATTCGTTAATCGGTTCATGGGATTTTTCCTTATAGACGTATATCTGATGGAGTAATCGAAAGATTTCATCCTACTTTTGATATAATTTTCTTCATGAAATCCAGGATATATTTTTCCAAGGAGCATCAAATTTTATTTTACGAAGTAGGTATAATTTTTTGCGAGGAAACGTAAAGTACGGTTTCACTATCAAAACTTAATTTCATTTTTGTTCGTTTTAAAATTTGATACGTTTTACAATTTATACCTTACTACAATAGAGATCATTTCTATATTGCATTCCAGGGACAATAAAACGATCTATATCATGTGACTGAGCTGTTGACTACAGAAAAATGAAAAGATATTGTCTTATATTGTGCATGCTGCTGAGCTTGGTTTTAGCGGCTGAAGAATATTGCCATGACATTGAGAACAGATGCTACTCGCGTTTAGGTTGTGGGAATGCTTTACACAACTTTCAGTTAGTTTGTGATAGGCAGCTGGCAGGGGAGACAAATGAATGTACGGAGGAATGCCAGAGGGCCCTCATAACTCTGGTATCGAGGGATGATGGATATGAATACATTAACTGTGATTGTAAGAAGCATCGTGGAAAATACTCAGACTGCGACAAGAGAAAGCAAAATCTACAAGTGTGTAAGAGCGCCCTGGATGCGGTAGAAAGGATTAATGATCCTTCCAGACCGATCAGCTGCTCCATTGCTCATTGGATTTGCGATACGGACAGTTCGTGCTCTACGGCGTTGGTGTATTACAAAAGCCATTGTGGGAATTTGAAGGAAATAGGCTCGTGTCCCGAGAGATGTAATACGACGATTAACATACTTTATCAGCAGAAATATGCCATGAAGCTACAGAACTGTATTTGTGATGAACTACTGGAGGATTTTAATTGTTCCGAACTCCAGCAAAACACCAAAGAATATTGCTTTAAAAACAATTATTCTATTGTTACTAATAATAAACGGTCACCGTATATGGCCCGCGATGATTCTGGTGGTAATCGTCCCGAGTGGCGGTGGTTTGCATTTTTGGTTGTGGTGACCACTGCTTTATTGTGGCCACTCGAATGTTAGCACTGGGACCCGGATGTTAATACTGGGATTTTGTTTCATTTGCTCACAATCTGTATTGAACGTTTATCATGTTTTATATATTACTTGTTTTTCAGTGTATAGTGTTGATATATTTTTTATGTGACTTACAGTCACGAAGTTGTTTTTAGAATAAATTTAAATTCATGACATCGTTCAAATATTGCAGACAGGGAGTTTTTTAACAATGAAATATGATCTGCAATATACTTGTTAATATCACGCGTGTTTATATGCTTATTACTCGCTTTGGTTTTGCTTTAGATTAAAGATTTTATTTCGAGGTTATTTTTATTGCTTAAGACAACTTTTATTTTCATCCTCATCAATGCAATATAGTTAAAATGTTATTGCTTAATGATGGCAAACTGAACACTCCGAAGGTCATCCATATATTATTTTGTAACTACGTGAACATTTAAACAAATTAGATATACCTGAATATAAAAATATCGTATTTAAGGTGGAATGTTCTGCCTAAGGTGATGTAACATTTGCTTGTTCTCAATAAAACATTCATAAACATTAGCCTTTTCATTATATATTGAAGTCTATTTTTAGCGTGTGAAACAATTTTTCAGATACATTTGGTTTTTGATCAGGTTGATGTACAATTTTTTATAACTTAATACAATATTGTAATATAAGATAAAACACCTGTAGGAGAGTCAGTGTTTTAAATACATGTAATAGCGATATTGCTTACAGACGCAGCAATATGCGATGCCATTATTATATCTGATGCAAATTAATTGTTTGTAAAATAAATCTTACCTATATTTAAATAAGTCTTGGAAAAAGAAAAAAATAAATATAGCGAAATAAAGAGTAAAATTTGTCGCCGAAAAGCTGAATAGTTTTCTCGGGAAAATAAGACCAAAAAAAATTGTGGAACTCGTTATGTTATCTTAATTTTATCAATAACATGGTTTCTAAAACAATTGAAAGACGTCATATATACCAAAACCAATTAAACTTTCAAAGAAAAAATTACAATAATGAAAGGTTAAATAATATTTAATAGCTTATCGCATATACAGCTTTGAATTCAAGAGTTTAAAGTGTATGAATGTTAGGTAAATATTTATTTGGTACACTAGTCTGCGGCCTCGGGCAATATTTTCACCTTCCGTTGCAACAAACCATATGTTGCCCTCATATCTCAGTCAATAACTGTATACTAATTTTGTCTTAATATTTTTTATATTCTACTGGATGAAATTGAAAAAGTTAGAATTAAATGCATCGGAATAATTTAATTTTAGAAAATATAAATGTTATGTGTAGTAAATGTTCGTTTATCAAGGATATCAGATTTTTTTTCAAATAGGATCCATATAGTTTAATTCACTTGATGTTACATGTAAGCAAGGAATCAAAAACAAATTATTACATAAGGGAGGGGTAACAAGTTGACAACAGTTATTATAGGTAGACAAACCAAGTCTTAAATTAATATGCATATACAAAATCTCCCACTTAAACAAAATACAAAGTTCAACTCTTGACTCTTTTGCTGGGCAATTATCTACACTATCTAAAAAGAATTGACGTTAATCATTACTTAGTTTGATGCTGATTTTTTTTTCGACTTTTCGATTTTATAACAAGATCAGCTTGACTATGATGGAGAAAGTAACTTTTTCCTCACTATCAACTACCGAGTAAATTTTAAAATATATTTGTTTAAATATTGGGTCTTTTTAACAATTACTATAATTAATTGTAGAGACGAATGAGGAATGTTTTTTTTTTAATTGTTTTCCTTTTTTTTAACCCAATTCGTGTTTGATAACAGTTTTTATTGATCTCTTGGATTACAAACGTCACCCACATTATCACCTTCATAATCTGCAACTTTCAAATTTGTCACAGAAATCGAAATGCAATATCTGATTGTTAGAACATACCAGAAACCAAATCTGTGTAAAATAACACGCAGAACATTGTACGTGATCCAATTGTCGTAATTGACAGTTATAGGAGAGATAGTTTTTATAAATGTGCGATAAATAGTATGTTTCTCCTGTACTTGGGCGCAAAATCGCTATAAAATGGTTCCCTGTGGGTTTACAACGATAAACAAGCAAGCAAACACTGTAAAGAAACAAACATTTGAATGATTTGAATGGTGCTATTCTTTAGACTTCCAGGGTAGGGAAAGGTTAGACAATTTTTTTTTAAAATAAGCATTGTTTCTGGAAAAAGCAATATATATAAGTAAAGTGTAAAAATGCCCTATATATTATTCACCATCTATAGGTTCATTGTACGTAATATAAATTATTCTTTTTATTCAATTGTGTTACAATAGTCATAGAATTTAGAGAATATTGTTAAACAAATGTAGTTACATGTACATATATGTACCGAAGCTAAAAATCTCTGATTCCTAAAACTTTTATGCAAGGCGTGTATAAGATTTTCTTTCAGTTCGACTGTTCAATTCTTCACTAAAACATTCTGTTTAATTGTTTACCGACAGCCCATTTAATGGACCCCCTTTCCCCCTAAAAGTTTGTCTGTTTTTCAACGTCACTCTCGAGAATTTTTCCCCCATATGGAGACGCCACCACTAGATGGTGGAGAGCTGCAAACTTTGTCCTGTAATACATGTAAGCACTCAGGAACAGGGAGGAATCTATAAGGTGATGCTCCGTTTGACACGTTAAATGACTATATATTACATTATCACAACCCAAGCATTGACACAACACATTTAGTAGGAATTAGAATGGTCATTTATTGAGGAAAATTAATCACATAAAGAACAATGTAACTAAACAACAATACTACTCAAATCATACAATATATAAATATTGCATGTAGTGGAGTGTAACATTGAAAATTTTCACCCCAAGAAAATTTGAATGTTACACTCAACTACGCACATGCAATATTTATTATATTATACTGAATGCTTTATACAAATACATATAACAGTGAACCGTGAGCGCATAAATTTTTCGCAGTCACTATTTTTTGGAATATCACCCGTCGTCAAGCACTGCATATTGACTGTTCCTACGCTGGAGGGCGTGGCTTCATTACTCAGCGGGTAAGTGTTTTTTAACGAATGTTTCTCGACCAATCAGATTCAACTTATTTACATGAAGTATAATATTAATTATTATCTACAGAGTTTTGATCAATGACTCGACAATCAAACACATGAAGTACATTACTGATGGCTAAATATGGGTTGATAGTATGTCATATCGAATTCTTTATTTAATTTTTCAGCGTGTCAAAGATGGGGCTATTCCCCCAGATATCAATATCCTAAGCCGTGTCAAATCCTACTTCGGTTTATACGGTCTCATCCGAAGGACCGGTCTCCACGCCCCACAGTGAGATTCGAACCCTTAAGGATCAACTCCTTACTTCGCCATGCTAGAACAGACGCTCTTACCACTGCGCCACGCGGCAGGTGACTTCCTTAAGTGCCTAAAAGTAATTCTTTTGCATAACAATTATATATAAATCGCTTGCACTTAAATAAAATGGACATAGTACTTTGTAGCTAAGGACATGCAACTTAAATTTTCAAATTCTTGGTTAGGTTTATATTATAAGATGCTTAATGTCTTATTGTCCCCCGCTTTCACTAGAAGTGGAGGGATACTTATTCCGGTCTGTGTTTCTGTATTTTTGTCCGTAAAACTTCCCTTTCCATTCCATATCTCCAGAGGTTTGACCTTTTGCACTGAAATGTTACCTAACTCACTAAGGAAGACCCCTACTTATTTTGAGGTCAAAAAGTCAAGGTCGTAAATAAGTGCATTCTGTGTGTACAAAACTTATAATTCCGGGCGATATCTATGTTCAGAAGCTTTTTAGTTTTCCTTCCTATGGCCGAATCCCCCTAGATCCGCGCAAGCTCTTCTTTTATTCCTTCAGTGAAGGAGAGATTCTTTGAATTAGCTTTTTTGATTCCATTATTATTCTCCCCCCCCCCCCCCCAAAATTGACCGTTTAGAAAATCATCTTGTTCACATTTGCACGGAATCTTGACTTTAAATTTGATAGTTCTTTGACTTTCTATTTGTTTAACTGAAGATCCTGATGTATACTTCGACTCAGCAGCTTCAATGCATTTTTTCAATTATAAGTCAATGCATTCTCAGTGATAAGAATAGTTTGACATGAACTGGTAATTCTGTAGTCTACTCCAAATCTTAGACATTTTTACCAGGACCTCAGGCTCTAAATACGCCTGCATTCTCGATTCGAGGTAGGCTTCACGACAAAGAATTAATGATCTGAAGGGTAATTTATATACTCTGTTTTTGCAGCAGCTGCAGTTTAGGTCTGCAGTTTCCTCTGTGGACTTACTGAAGAGTTGACACCTTCTGTTAATCATGCCTGCTCTCAATTTAAAACCTAAAAATTCATTTCCAAAGGGGCGGTTTCGTCTTGCGTACTGTAAAAGAGCAATTTCTAATTTGTTTACTTGCACGCATGCAATACATAAACCAGAGACTTGAGCAGCTCTGCTTCAAAGCAACAGTAAAACCCAGAGTGAGTAAAGCGGGATTGATGAAGCATAAAATGAAGAAACGAATATATTATTCGAAAAAGGAAAAGCGCGTTTAGGTAGAAATTATTCATATTAAAAATATCCTTAAGGAGGGCATTTATTTCTATTATTAGTTTTCTGAGAAGGGATAGTATTATTGACCGATATCCATGACCCGATTATTGAGTTCTTTTAATCCAGGCATCTCTTTCACTCATTATATGCTGTTATATGGAAGTGGCAAAACAAGAAGATTAATAGCACCCGAGTATTGTTTGATCCATTCAAAACATTATGCAAATATGTATCTATTTATAAGTATGATGAATTACAAACCTTGGATAAATATCGCAGATAAAACTTTTATATACGCTTAAAATAACGTACGTCTGCCTTTTGTATTATTTCATATAACCCTATCATTAGTTGTGTTTAGGTTTACTGATTTAAAAAGTGGGTTTTTATGCTATATTTTTCTTCTTTGTTATTAGTCATCTGCAAACTTGGTGTTAAAAAATCTGATTCTAAACAAGAATATTTAAAGATTGATATTTTAAAAAAAGTTAAGATTCTTAAAATTATCATTGACAATATTTAAGGGGGTTTGGAGAGCAGATCATCAACGAATCTTCTGGAATTATCTTTTTATCAATTGACATTTTTTTCCGCCCCTATGTTGACTCGATATATATCCCACTGCACCTTAACAGACAGCACAGAATTTGACAATTTTTTTGTAAAGGTGATCGATTAAACTTCGCCATCTTTATGATACATTTTTAATACATTTTACTGATATAGTAACTACATGTATCTACCATTCCCACCTTCATATGGAGTTTATATGTCCTCTAGTGTCATTGGCAACAACACAATACAAACAATTTGTTAAGGTAGGACTCTTCTCTGGTTTCTGCCTAGCTAAAATATTCAAAGTACATGCATATTTGCTTATATGTCATATATTTATGTGTAAGATATTAAAATGGTAATGACCTCAACCTGACCT